TTGTTGTTACTTTTATGACTATCGTGTATAAAAACTGAATAGCTTGTTACAAAACTTTTCAGAAGATAATTTATTATTAATAATGAATAAATGGTGTACAAAAAAATGTTATGAAAGTCAAAAATATACTTTTCTTGGTCAATTTTTGTGATGATTTAAAATCTATAATTAAAATAATTTCCATCGTCATTAATTTTTGATATTATTACTAATTATTTAAAAACTAGTAATTAATTTTAAAAAATATATAGATTAAACTGAAATTCAACAAAACACCAGGGGACTATAGTTATACTTTATAGAATCTTATTATATAATAAAACATTTGTTTTTCTTCATACTCCACGCTGCGTCGCCCGAATTTCTTGAGTCACTTTTCTCTGTGAAAACGATTTTTTTTTCCATTTCGCTCATATACCACTGGAATCTAAATGCTATAAGGATGATGGAAAAATCCAAATTCGGATAAAAATTCTATCCGCTGTGAGCGTTTACATTTTTTGCCTATTATCTTTTTTAATAAAACAATAAAAATTTTCCTATGTTAAAAAAAAAAATCTCTTTTATAAAATAAAAGTTGCTTAACCAGTTTTAATACAGACAATTAATATACTTTTAAAGTATTTATTGTCAAATTAGGTTTTAATGAGATAATAGGTTTCATCTATAAAAGTAAATAATTTTTCTTGGCAATTTATTTATCTTTTAATTCTATTAGTGAATGTTACTACCAGTCTATAATATTCCAAATTTTTTGGTAGCATAATGCTATACAGAATGATCAAAATCTGATAAGACACTTATTTTCTCAGAAAATATTGAGAATTTTAAATTTTATTATAAAGAAAAAATATCAAGTTCAAAAAACTCTACAATAATATGTAGTCAAATCATTATTTTTTTCGTCCCTTCAAGGATAAAATCCCTTATCTATAATTTTCTTAAATGGGGACCCTTATTTTTAACTTTATAATATGATAGAAAAAAAAAATTACAATCAATTTTGTTCTTATAATTTTTTTTATTCGATTAAATGTTCATCCGTTACACCTTGTTAAAGTTAAGTGATTTTAAGCCAAATTTCTATTGTCATTTTACTGTATTAAATACAGAAGTCATTATTTTTATTTTCAGTAGCATAAACCAAATTTTATTGATCAAGTTATGACAGGTAAATTAGTAATTTAAATTTACTACTCACTAAATGAGTGATAACAATTATAGATTCAAACCGGGTTTTCGGTGTATTATTAATAGCTAAGTCTATGGTTTTGTAAGACTAAAGGTTCTAACAAAATTACACTTTGGTTGCATGCCACCAATATTATGAAACGTAATAAATAACTATACTTTTCTGGTAGACAAAATCTTTAAACAATTATAAAACGTAAACGGTTGTTCGGATAAAAAAAATTATAAGAACAAAATTGTTTGTAATTTTTTTTTCTATCATATTATCAAATCAAAAATAGTGGTTCCCATTTAAATAAATTATAAATAAACATTTTTATCCCTGAAGGGATAAAAAAAAAATTCGTTTAACTTCATATTATTGTAGAGTTTTATAAACTTAATAATTTTTCTTTTTACAAAAATTTTAAATTCTCAATAGTTTCTGAGAAAATAAGTGTCTTACCAGATTTCGATCACCTTGTATAAATCATAAATATAAAAAAAAAAAATGATTTTTAGTTTCATCTGATTTTAACAATACATTTTTATAAAGTGAAAAGTATATTTATTGATTATTCATACGTAACATAATAATCAAACATAAATATTTGTTATATTAATTAGAAGGATTTTGTTCTTATTTAGACCATACACCCAAAGAAAAACCTCAATCAAAATTGAAAGAGAAATTTTATCAAGGGTTTATATTAATGTTTTATTAATACGAACAAAATAACTATTCTTATAAATAATTATTGTTCAAGACAAGAAAAAAGAATATCATATTGATAAATATATCATTGATTCAATAGTAATGATATATTTATCAAATTGAACAATGAATTTATTATATAGATCGAGATTTTTCTCTGGGTGTATGCGAATCTCTAAATGCAGATTTGAAATCGTCGCAAAAATGGGTTTAGAAATGTATTTGGTCTCGGATGAAAGTACCTTGTAGACCAGTAAAATTATTTATAAATACAATTTTTTTTTTATTGCATCAAGACCTTCAACGTTTATATATGTTTGCCATAAAAATAATAACTATATTTTTATTTTTTATAATTTCTCTATAAAAATTACAATACTAAATTATTCAAAAAATTCAATTTCATTCTATATAACGTATAACGTTAGTCCGACCCGCCCGCCAACAAAACACAGCTATACTTAGTGCATGATACGTTTACGTACTTAAGTCGCATTATTTGTATATATATATATATATATAAATATATAAATTCTAATTACTATTAAAATTAATATATTAACACGATTTATTCTTATTTAGAGATAAAGTGTGTATTCATTCCGATTACAAAGGATGATTCCCGTATCGTCATTTTTCTTCACTACCTCCACGTTCCGGAAGTGAGTAATTTAGCGCCTGCTGCTTTTCTTGGATGTGGTAGCCGTTTCTCAGACTCCCTCCCCGGAATCGAACCCTGATTTCCCGTTACCCGTAACAACCATGATATTGATAGTAACTACTATCATAACATGAAACTAAAAAGTAAAAAATAAATATAGTTTAAAAAACTAAAAAAACACGCTTTTAAAGCACATCGAACTAAAAAGTTTAAAATAATTATGAACAAAAAATACTAGTATTATTGTGATAAAAGCGTGGGTGCTTTGTGTCATATTTTTCGTATATTGAGCGCCCGACGCTTTTATCACAATAATACTAGTATTTTTTGTTCATAATTATTTTAAACTTATTTAAAAAATTATTTTTAACTTTTTAGTTCGATGTGCTTTAAAAGCGTGTTTTTTTAGTTTTTTAAACTACATTTATTTTTTTTAAATTAAACACTATCTACAGATTTGTATTGAAGCGTTTTTATGATAGTGATTTTAATCACTGTAAGGTACCATCTATACTGGACGCAACTATGGCACGTCTCCACTATGTCAATACCCCACTGAAGTGAATTTTATTTTTTTGGTTTGGTATTACTTAAATTATTAAGAAAAAGCCAATACAATATTTGGGATTTTAAAAAAATTATGTATTAAAGAACATATGTTTAGTATAATTTTATTCAGAGAGTTAAAATAGACTGCAACATAATGATTAAAACTGTGAAAAAAAAAAAAAAATAGTTTAGATACATGACTATGTAATGTAATTATTGCAATAACTAATGTTATTGCAAAATAACAAAATAGTTTTCTTTTTTATAATTCCAACGGTTCAAAAATTGTAATTATTGAATAACTGTCAAGTTAAAAGTATTTTTAAGTATCAAGATTTGTTAGTTTTTAGTAAACCATTATTAAAATTTTTATAATGGATATTTCTTAATAAGAAAAAAAATATTTTTTTAATATCCTGAAATAATCATTAAAATTATTAAAACAATGATGAATACTTATAGTCGTATTTAAACTAATTCTTATAATGAGGAGTTATTAAAAATTCAGTATTTTAATATTGAAAATAATTTTAATATTTAATTAAATAGTTTGTAATTTATTATTCTATTTTTAAACAAACTACACCTCATAATAAAAACAATATATTCACAATATCTGATATTATTCTAAATATTTTAAGCAAGTTAAACATTTCAATTTAAACAACATATATTGATACTATTTAAAAGAGGATAAACAAATTATATAAAATAGAATGCTGAGTTAACTTCTCAAAAGAAAAAACTATGTGTTATATACTTATAAAAATATTGCGTGAGGCATATCAATCAAATCATAGTAGTAATCACTGTATACTTATTATTAGTGATGGGTATTTTCGAATATTTTAAACTATCGAATAACTATTCGAATTGTTTTTATACAACCGAATAGTGTGTTTTTAGCATAAACTATCGAATAGTTCGATAGTTACTATTCGATATTTCCCATCACTTATTATTAATTATTTCTAGAAATAAGTGATATTTATTATGACTATTTTTCTTTTTATAATCTTTTTTTTCTTTTGATATTCTCTGTGGTAAAAAATGTTGATTTTTCGAAAAATTCTGTTATTTTGTATTTTTAAGTTCCAATATTATCTACAGTATATTTTATTGGTATTGAATTTATTTAGTGATTTTTACAGAAGAGAATTTAAAATATATAAATATAAAATATAAAGTCGCAGGAGGCTCATATATTTTATAAAAGACATTGAATTTGCTAAGTTCATTAGTATTACCTATTTAAGAGAAAACGGAAATATTGTATTAATTAATTTGTTTTATATAAATATTCATGACGCCTGTCTGACCACCGACCAACACATCACGTGTCGTCGAGTAGTCACATTCAGACAGTATATCTGAAACACTATATTGAAAGTTGTAGAGGTGTCTTTTGTTGATCAACCGCTCGTTGTGAATTATAACGCGGGTCAAAAATGTTGACCCAAATATACATTTTTTTTTAATTACTACAATAATTTATAATATTTTTAGCCATATCATCGTTTATATTTTTCAAATTGTTTGGATATAGTAGCATTCTCATCTAACATGATTTTTATATGGTTTTGGTTTTTATGAACCAATAATTAAAAAAAAAAAATTAACTTTTGGTTTGAATTAAGTGGGCTTTGATATAAATTTTAAAACTATTTAAGGATAATATATGTCGATAGCTTTTTTTTGTCCACTTTGCTAGATCGTTAGATCAGTTTTTGAAGTATACTGAGAAAAAATTAATTTTATAATTAAAATTGAGTACTAATCACAAATTAAAATTATTCTTTTTATTGTTAAAAATGTCTTTAATATTAAAAATTTGTATTTCCACAATGCTTAAAAAATTAAACTTTGTATTATAACACTTTAAAAATGTTAAAAACACATAAAAAATAAAATAAAACTTATAAGAACTTTTAATTTTTTTTTAATAAAAAAGTTATATGAAAGCATTTTTTGAGAAGTTGCATTTTCACAATCAATTTTTGAATTGATAAGCTATCACCTTGAACACGATCAAGAGTTCCTGAACATCGACATATAAAAATTTCTTATGTTTCATGAATTTTTAAGATGAACTTATTTATTTTTAAATTAATTAAATTGTTTTATGTAAATTAATTACTTACATCCATGAAGTTTTCTGTTTTTTTACAAGATGAACACATTTGGTTCATATATTTATTTATACAAAGATCATAAAATGAGCATTTACATATCCTCGCCATTCATTCAGCATTATTTTGACAGTTGCTTACACTACATTTCAGTATTCCTATGATAGAATCTATAAAAATTAATATATATTTCTGGTTGATAAATCATTAAAATTTCATTTTTTTTATAAGATATTTTGGAAAATTAAAGAAAAATTTAAAAAATATAGATATTTTTCGTAAAATTATATTTTCATAATATCGCCCCCCAATAATTATGCAAAAATTGAGTATTTTATTTTTTTTAACTTCGATATATAGCTGAGAAGCTATTGGTTATACTCTGCCGTGTTTTTTTATTCGTGTACAAGATAATTCTACTCTTACTTTTGTAAAATAACGCGAATAAGACCTCAGTAGATATAGTTTATATGTTTTAACACAATGTGAAATGTGAAATATGAAATATGAATTGTAAAAGGAACATTAAGGCGGCGGCATGTTTTTTTTTTTTCACACCGCCGGCATGCTGTGGACCTCCCTGGAACTACCGCGAGATATTGCTTCAGGACGAAAAAATCAAATGATTTGAACATTTTTTTCTAACTCAAAAAAATGCTAAATATTAATAGCCACAGTAGGATGCGAACCTCGTACCCTTAGCGTAAAAGACACAAGTGTTACCGATTCGGCAACTGTTCGTCGCAAGGCGGCGGCATATTAACCCAACTATGACCATGTGACGTGTAGGCCTTTAATCATAGAGGGTTTCCCTTCTTTGACTAACGTATATATTAAAACTGTAGATCAACGATTTACCCCTACATAGGAGGGAAGGCGATGAGTAATCATACTCATCATAGCAGTGGCGGCGGTCAGGGCAAGCTAANATACTTATCACAACAGTGGCGTGCGGTCAAGGCAAGCTAGGTAAGCGGCGCATGCCCGGCCAAAAAGGAAGAATTAAAAAGATTAACATTTATAATGTTAAATGACAATTTGACTTATACATTAAAATTACAACTATTCATTAATTCTTATTTGAGTATTCAATTATAAAAAAATTATTAGGCTTCTTTGAAAGGAATTAAATGAATTTTTTTCGTATAGGCAATTTCTTTACAGAAGCGCTCGTATTTTGGATTGCCTGGCCCGTATCGTTATTTATAGGAATGACCGGTTGTGGTAGAAGAAGATATACATGTTTTTACGTGGCGGTTGAAAGCGCTTATCGATAATTTTAAAAACGGAATTCCAATATTTGTACGATACGTTCGGATTGTTTTGTTATTAATATAGTTTTATTATTATTATTATTTTATTATTAAAAACTTCTGCATAAAGAAAAAAATAATACGGAAATTTATGATTAAGTTATAAAAGAATTTTTGAAACAAGAAAGACGAATGGATTTTATCTATAAATAACTTTTAGAATATAATTTTTATTAATAAAATACTTTTTTTTTGTTTTAACTTGAAATTTTATTTTAGCGCTTACCCGGCATAAAATATCACCGCACGCCACTGCATCATAGGGTGATTATTATAATGATATTAAAGTAAATAAATAAATATGAACAATATTTTAATATTTCATATGAATTTAGTTATTTTGTAATTAAAGAGAAAATATTTGTATGTTAGACGTAACCATAATATTTTATCAAATTCTTATTATTTATTCAGTTACTGCGTTTGTTAATGTGTAAACGTTATTGTATAAAAAATATACACACATACTCTATTACATATATTTGTATACAAATATTTAGAAATCGCGAGTTTAAAATGAATTATTATTGTATTAAAGTGAAATTACTTAAGTGTTGGAGGAAAGGGTTAGTATACGGGGATATTATGTATTCTGTGATTTACTGACCCTCCAATAAAAATGTTTGATTTTTCTACATAAATGAGCGTGAAATCGTTGATAGAGTCACAGTGTCTTCAAGAACCATTAGCTCTAAGAAGAAGAATCTACTACATGAACAATATGGCAGCCGAACCTGTAAGAAAACAGCGCTACATTTATACAGAGTGAAACATTGACCAGCAAATATCTTATCTTATCTAATATGTGTCTTTACGAGCCATCATAACCGCTGCAATTAACTACCTGTATTACAAGTCTACCCGTTTTATACATATATATAGGTAAAAAAAATCAAAACTTTAAAGTGAAATAACATGCAAACTAATTGACTTAAATGAAAAATTCAAACGCTAAAAATTATAAAAAAAAAAAACTCTATCAATATATCTAACTAAAAATATATGTTTCCATTTGAAAAAAAAAAGTTGGTACCCTTTTAAGGCATAAGGGATGAACCTAAAAATTATCTGATCATGGATAAATGTAGAGTTTTATGTAACTAAAATAATTAAAAAAAAAAATTATTAAAATAATAAATAGTTTTTGAGATATTTGCTGGTCAATGTTAAATGGATCACCCTGTATCTCACCAACACTGCCAGCCGAGATGAGAGACTCTAGAAATTACACTATTGCGTTCAGCGTCAGAACATTTTTGCAAGTGAGCCTGAATCCAAAGGAATACTTCAATATTACGCTATGCATCATTACTCCCTCACAGCATATTAGTATGTCAGCAGACTTTTTAAATATTATTTATGACATGATGGATGAAATAACATGATTTCTACAGTCACCTCCGGTAAAGGAAGAGAACATTGTGTTATACCAAAATGTCGATTTTAATATATCCATAGTATTTGTGCGACGCGAAATACTCGGACGACCAATCGCCGAATGAAATCACGTCTCTAAAGGTTCCTTTAAATAAAATTAAAAGAAAACGTTTTTAATGGACTGTAATTTATTTATCGAATTTAATATGTATTCTCTAATACAGTAACAACAATGGTTTATCTTAAATCTATTGTTAGTATTTATATTTAAACTAATATACTAAGATACAACAATATAAATTCTTAGCAATTAATATTTAGACAAACAGAAAATGTATAGTCTGACCTTGCTTTCTGTACCCAAATGAAGATGGTGAATGTGTCAAGTAAAGCAGTTGAGCCCGATGCAATCAACAGAGTGAATTGAACACATAAAACCGTCAAAGAAAACAAAACCAACAAAATAACGCACTTGAGTCCGTGATACACAAAACCACTCTAGGCATGCCGATACGCGAATGACACCTTCGCGACCACCGCCACACACTACCCCAACAAGTAAACCAGTTGTGACAGGTCACGCTCTTGTTGAAGAGAATAAAAAACCGGCGCTCACCCACCAAACTGTTTCGTCACGACCGAACATACTCTCGCCGTTTGAAAGGTTTGCTTTCAAAATTCCACTGGAGTGATTTTCTCGGTCAGAACATTTTTTTTTTTAAACAACAAAAAAATATCTTTACAATTAAAACAAAAAAAAACCTTAAACCTATTTTTAAAACCTTATCCCTTTGATATTAAGTAAAATAAATTAATACATATTAATAAAATTATTTATCAATCATAACTTCATATACTTAATGAGAAAATTATTAAAAAAAAATGAAACAAAATTTAAGCTAAAATCAACAATGAAAAAAATTTATAAAATTAATGCAAATAATAAGTAGCGCCGTCTAATGCTTATGGGAAGAAAGAAAGGAAAGAGATAATTAAAAGATTGGTTTTGTACCGAGTTATACGACGCGATTGACTACTGTGCGTCGTTTTCGTTTACGCCTGTCTCGCGCTAAATTTTCTAATTGTCTTTCAATATTTTGTTCTCTGTCCGTAATTATCATACTATATGAACTGTGATCAAATAAATTCTTTTTTCCGTGTCGTAACACCGACCGCTCCGTTGATTCATCTAACATATTCTTACGAAATAATGAGTTAACGCAATGTTTTCTTGTTCTGCGTCGCGGAACAGTGATATCACCGGTTGACATCTGGCTAAACTTTTCCTCGGTTGTGGGTGCTATATTTACAGACGGTTCTTCAACAATAAAAAATGTTCTTGTTAAGTCTTCAATCGCTAGTTCCGATTTAAATGACGACTCAGATGACTCTTTCAACGAACCGAAAATAACCCAACCCAAATGGGTACTCATGGCCGAAGGCAAACCCGGACTATGTATTATATCCACTGTTTGTGGTAATAAAAGTGGATACAAATCACTACCGATCAACATATCAACTGATAACGGATCATCAAACCGTGGATCAGCTAAGGTTAAATGCTTATAACGCTCTCGTACCGTATTAGGTAATTTAGCATGAGGCATAAGTTTAGTTATTTGTGGTAATACTAAAATTTTCGATGCTATGAAACTCGGTTCTTGCGCTACTAAAGGAACGAAAGTACAGGTTGCTTCCCCTAGTGATTGAGCGACTGGTTGTTGAGCTAAACCAACAACCTCTCTGCACCCTTTAAATATTTTCAAACCGAGTTTATTTGCGCAATCTGAGGTGATCGCAGACACCTGAGAACCGCTATCGAGCAACACGCGTACAGCATGTGGTTCTCCCGCCGTATCACTTATGCGAATTACCGCTGTGCCGAGTACGTTGGTCCCTGAGCGAGCCAAACCTGAAAACACTTGAGAAGTATCGGCTACTTGGTCTGACGTTGATAATGGACTTGTCTCTTCTTCCTCGCCTCTAACATCGTCAATCTGAGAAGAATTGCCTTTTTCTTCATGTAGCAATATATTATGTTTTCCAAAGCAATGTTTACAATTGTATTCACTGGAACATGAACTGGCCGTATGCCCGCTCCTAAGGCAAATAAAACATAATCCGTTATTTATAACAAACTTTTTTCTCTCCGAAACCGTTTTCCTCTTGAAAGTGTAACACCGATAAATCGAATGTTCTTGGTGGCAACATACACATTTATTAGATCTGTGTGACGCCCGGACACTGCATAAGACGCTTGAGTAGTAATGTTGGACTGGCCCCTTTTACCCGTGACCTTGACTGCGGTTTCAGTTGTATTATCAATAGTACCGATATTTTCCAAAATATGAACTCTTTGTGACACGAAGTCCAAAAGATTTTCTAAAGTAGGTGCATTAGATTGTAAAATGCTCGCCTCAAATAATCTCCTTGTCTCTATATCCAAAGCTCGAGAACCAATATAAAATAGAATAAAACCACTAACATCTTCTATGCCAAGTTTTTTGATAGCCGTTATATTTTCACGGAATATATTAATAAATAATGACAGCGATGAAACAGATTCATTTTTAATAGGACTAAAACCGAATATTTTATCTAAATGCTTTGTAGCTAGTAATCTTTTATTTTCATAGCGGGCCTTCAATGCGTCCCAGGCTATTGTGTAATTGTCTGCCGTTAGTGACACCGATTTTATTATTGTTAACGGTGGACCCGATAGACATGACATCAGTAAATGAAAACGCATAATAACAGCTATATCCTTATTGTTATGAACTAAATCTTCGTATGTGTCTCGAAATGAACACCACTCAGTAATATTTCCATCAAATTTTTCTTCACTGTTAGGTATAACAGTTATGAGTTTATTGTCGTATCCTAGCTGTGTTACAATGAAATGACTGTCGTAGTTAGATTAATTGTGAAAAAAGCAGGGGACAAACTTAGGAGACTTTAACTTTAAATTACATTCATTACAAATTGTGTTTCTATACATGGCTGTTAAGTGATCATGATCGCGAACTCGGTAATTATCTATAGAGAACTTAACGTTGCATAAAGGACACACATCGCGTTTATGTATATCATTATGTTTCTTCACATCAGCTTACTTAAAAGTCATGAGCAAGTTGACTTGTAACATTTGAGATATATTTCGAGCTACTTCCACAATTTCCGGAACGAAATGTTTAGCTACTGTTCCCTTTTCTCCATGACCGTCCTTCTGAATAATATTGGATACGTTGGAATAAAAAAACTGTTCATGTAATGGTGTAGGTATAACGTTTCTAACATTAACATAATAACAATAACTCAGAGGTTCATGATCATGCGTTATCTGTGTATTCTTTTCTTGTGATTCTTCGGACTTGTGTTTGAACAAAACAGCTTCAAAATCAGCGTATATGACTACATGATGATGTTTAGTGTTATCTCAATTTTCAAATTTGGTGACTGTGTCTGGTTCAGACATAACAGGAGTTATAGGCTCGTTAACTCTACAACGTTCTTTATGCTGACGTACGAGTTTTTCTTTGCTAGGTTTGTTTTGTTTGGAAGTATAAGTTTTAAAACATCAACTAGATATTACGGTTTTTGAATGAAACAAAATAATGGAAGATCGCACCAGCTTGGCTAAATGTGTTATATAACAGTAATGTCCAAGACCTTCTCGTTTGATATCATTAAAAGATCGAAATGATCAAGTTTTTATTCTTTACACACTCTTAGAGGTATAACAATATTTTTTTCTAATTGAGGTCTAATTTTTTTTGTTTTATTTTTATACATTACAAAACCTTTTTTCAGTCCATATACGTTCACGGATACGTCAGGGTTTTGTTTTTCAAATTTTGCAATTTTTTCAAGTGGCATAGTCATAGTAAGTTCTAAAACATTATATCTAATTCCTTGCTCATCAAAATGTTTCTGCTGAACAGTTATACGAAAAGCGTTTACTGGGTTTATAAATTTAGATATTATACTGTAAATTAAAAAATTGTTATCTTCATTTTTTGCATTGATAGTTGCATGCTTACCTTCAATTTCTTTAGGAAACGGTAAATAACTACCTCTACCAGGAGGAATGTATTTGTCAGTGTACAATAGAATGCCGTCAATCCATGATAACGTAAAACCACTACCTTTACTATTACTCCAGTAGTAGTTTAGTGAAATTTTCATTCAGAAACTCGTCAATAAGACTTGATATGTATAAACTTCGCGATGTAGTTTTAAAAGATCTATTTTCTACAGACAAAGCTTTATTTGGAATAACAGATATAGAGTCTAATTTTAAACTATACTTCATCAAGCAAACGTTTAAGCAAAGTAATTAACTCAGGCCGTGTTTCGCCCAATAAAACTCCATAATTAAAAACATGTTTTAAATTTTGTAAAATGTCTTGTGTAACCCTCCAAACGCCTGTTGTATTAAACTAAAGCCACTAGCATTTATATTATTTACTCTGAATTTCTTTGTATTTTTTTCTCGTAAGTCTGCTTGTAAACAAAGGCTAGGGTGTTTTCATTTATCATCTAATAAATAATTGGAATTTCTTAGATAATATATTTTGTATAACATTAACTACGAGTAAATAATAATTTAATTTAGAATTTTTGAAAAAAATGTGCATGATATTTGAGCGACTAGTAATATTTACTGCACTTAATAATAATAATACATCAATAATAAAATAATATATTAAAATATTTGGTTCAAGTATAATGATATCTGACAGTGATTAAAATCACTATCATAATAAACGCTTTAATGCAAATCGTTAGATAGTGTTTAATTTTAAAATAAAAAATATAGCAATAAGATGATTAGTTATGAAAAGGCAAACAGTTTATAATAAACGTAATAAAGAAAATATATATAATATAAAAGGATATCATTGACAGCACACAAACTTTCATTAACAACGTTAAGGAATATAAACATTGGCCGTCGAATGCAAATGAATAGGAGTTATAAGGTAGTATAGTATTTTATAATCAAATCAGTTTCACCACCGTACTCGGTCCAGTAGTTTTTATTGCTTCTACGTTAGCATAAACAGTAGTTAGCATATCTTTTGGCGGAGGTGTTACGACAATTTAAATTAATAAAGACTCTCCTTCAAGTGCTTTGGCATTTCATAGACTTCTTTTCGGTTAAACAACATCACTTGTGCTATGTCAATCAAGAATATTTCTAACATACCATCGTTTATCTCGTCCATAATTTTCCCACGGTACCATTCAACGCCAAAAAATATCAAGCACATATCGTATTTCTCAACTTTCTGGATGCGTCTTAAGTTATTTTCAATTTCGTGTAGTTTATCACACAAGGTGATAACAGACTTTCTACTCTCCATCGAGTGTACATGATAACATGTCTTCGTTCGTTTTTGAACTATCATTATCTGTGGAAATATTATAAGTAATAATAGATTGTTTGTATGATAATTATAAATAACTAACTTTTTGTGTCTCGCCTAGTTTTAATGTTGATTTCTTAGTACATAGGTCTTTTGTTATGTCAGTGTTGAGATTTTTTTCTTTGCAGTAATTTACTTTAACTTCAAATCGGTTCATATCTATAGTCCTAGTGCCATTTTGTATAAGCTGTGGTTATTTTGGAGTAACGATGTCCTTGTACTGTTTAAGTCGATCTTGAGCTGAATAAAGTGTAGTATTGGTCTTGTATTGCTGTCTATTTTCGGGTTGTTTGAATTTATTTGATTCTTGTACAAATTGTGGTTCATCGGTTTCACAGTATTTCATAAGTCTATCCTGGACCGTTTGGCATTATATATTCATTCGGCTGAAGTACAGGTTTGTAAGCGTTCTTCTTTGTATAAGTCTTCTTATATCTATTTCCGAAGTTTTTGGGTCTCAAATACTCAGCATTCCAAATCTGAGTGTTGAAACTTTTTTTAGATGTTGAATATGTCAATATGAGTTCATTTTTGTCAATAAATGCCTTTAAAAATATAAGTATGAATAACTATGCTATGTACACATATTTTTCACTTACGATGTTGAATATTTCTTTCTTTTTGATAACATTGGTAAGGATTTCCATCGAGGATTTATAAAAAAATTCACCATTTATTCCTTGAAGTTAATGCGATACTCTTCGGGCTGTTCAAGATTCTTGTCATTTGCTCTGGTAATTGTTAAATTTTGTAAGTAGTCATAATATTTTATGAAAATCTGATCTCCTCTCTCTAACGGTGCCATAATTATTTCGCCAATAAATTCGACTTGCGAACGTCATGTTGATTTCAAGTTTTTGTAATTTGATTTCGACGCGACTGAGACTTCTAGACTAGTTTGACTTCCACAAGAGCTTATATGTTCTTCGTTCCCTGGTTAGACTAAAAGTCCCAATGCATTTTTAGTTTACTAGATCTTTTATACTAATTTTTTATCGATTTTTTGTCCAACAACAAATAACGTTGCTAAAACAAATTTTCATTATTTCAAAAATAAATATGTTATTTAACGATCACCATAATAGATTATTTTCAGCCAATATTTTAATTATTTTTTTCCAGTTATACAAAATGAAAAAATTTGATTTAGTAACGTTATTTGTCGTTGGCCAAAAAGTCTTGTTTACTTTTTATTTAAGCCAATTAATAAAACAAAATATTTTTAATGATTGGCTAACAATTATTAAATTTGTTTAATAAAATAAACCCAACAAATAAAACAGTAGCCGGGTAAATACAGTAACATTAATATTTAGTGTACCGATAAGAACTACAGGTGTATTGAACAGCAACGTGAAAAACTTAGGAACGCTTGCTCTTCTTTGGCGTGAGTAATATGTCTCCTAAATTTTAATAAATTATAGCTCCCTGATAATTGAATAAAATAAAATAAATTTGTACGAAAAATTATTTTAAAATTAAATTTAATCTGATTATATAAATCGTTATAACGGTTATAGCCATTAAAATAATTTTATTCACTTATATTGTTATTAGACATATTATCCCTTGATTAGTACATTAATAAAAAAACTAAAATAATAGTTAAAAAATGTTTTCATTGAGACTATAGCGCGAATTTAACGTATGAACTTTTGGCGGAATAACCAGACGTATCAGTAACCGTTGACCAACAGTTTTAATTCGCGCGATTTTTATTTGTTATTTAATTTTTACTGTGACATTTTTTTAAACCATCAACGATTGTTTTATTCTTTTTACAAATTATGTTTTCGAGACATTCGCCATTTTCACAGCGACTAGATAACTTGTCAAAAGTGCTATTTTTTCCTGTTCACTCTCGCATATATATTTAAATGAAAAGTTCAATAAAATGTAAGTACATTTAATTTAAATTTGGCAGTAAAATAATAAATAGTTATTTTAATTCATTTTAATAATAGCATATATTATTTTTTAAAGATAATCATACATTTTAGTATCTACATTTATTGTAATTGTAATAGATACATGTGGTAAATTATATATTAAATTTTCGCATTTTGTATTATGATTAATTATAATTATAATACAAAATTATTTCTTTTAATAAAGTACTATCGTTAGTTATGTTGTTATTAAGTTATTAACGAATACCTCAAGATTTTCCATGAGCTTAAAATGTTGAACATTTTTAATCNATACCTCAAGATTTTCCATGAGCTTAAAATGTTGAACATTTTTAATCATACATCATTGTCGTTATCATCATATCCTTAGCCATTATCCCAATTTTTGGGGTCAGCTCTAGCTTATTTTAAATCGTCTTTTTTATTGATTTTTATTCATACATGTGATACAAATTACTTCTGTATTTCAATATTTAAAATAGTGCATTTTATATATTTCTCAACATTGTATACATTGAAATACCATCTCTTAAAAAACTGTTGATTTTTAATGAAAATCCCT